ATACACATCCCAAGAAGAACACTGCACGATTAGCACAAGGATCCACAGAATTGTCCTTGCGGCAGGAGCCGGCCAGTCCTGGGAGGACAGGGCCACTGCTGGGAGGACAACCACCCTCCGTGGGCAGCCTCTGCCGCAGGGTTGCAGGGGCTGGGAAATCGCTCATGGAACCTTCTTCCCCCAGACAGCTGAGCGTCCACCTGCCCCGGAGCGCTTGCATAGTGGAAGGGTAGCTGCTGCAGTTCAACTTCTGAGGGTGTTTGCAACTGACAGCGGGTGGGATTTTGTGACCATGTTAAACAAATAACCAGAGGGGTTTCTGGAAACTTTTTATAAAGTCTACCTAAGAATTTAATGTCATATATTTATATCAACAGACTATTTACACTTTTTTTTTTTAAAACAAACCAAAAAAGAAATCCTTTTACACTTCTGCATAATAGAATAAGGCAAAAACACAATGTTTTATACATTATTATTAATTATTTTAATATATACCTGTAACTTCGGTTCCAAGTACCAAGGGAGGGCCAGGCCAGGCCTGAGTGGGGAGCCTCACAGTGCGTTGGACAAAATGACCGTTTTTCCTCTATAAATAAGACAAAGAAACCCTGGGGCTTTGGAGAGGGATCTGAGGCCATTAAATTGCAAAGCCCAACAAAAAGTCAAGGAGCAAAAAGTTTCTTTTTTGGTCTTTTAAATGTCTAAAGAGCACAGAGTTAAGAAAAATACAAATCCACTAAAAACGTTTCTCACCTGTGGGGAAAATAGTATAAACTTGAATTTGTTTTTTGCCAGTAGCCTAATCTCAAGCCTGGAAAAGGAAAGATCACTCCCAGAAAAGCTGTATATTGATTCCCCGACTCCGCAGGCTTCCAGTGGAAAAGCGAGGGTCACCCAGGATGTGATGGAACTGTGCTTAGGGTCTAGAAATTTACACTTAAAAAAGTTTACAGCAGTGCATTTGTAAAACGGTCTCTGTACACAGTTCAAGCCTCCTCCGGCGGAGCGGTCCCGCGGGGACTACCGCGCCTCTACCTCCTGGGGGTTGCGGGACGGGGAGTATTCCCGCGCCTCGCTGGGGGCGAGCGGCGTAGTCCTGCTGCGCGTGGGAGGCGGCGGCCCCGGGGGCGTGGGAGGCCCTCCCGCGGCCACCAGGGGGGGTGGCGCGCCCAGTGTG